ACGACCTGAATCTGCCCTTGGAAGAGCAACGTCACGAGCCGCTGGCGTTCCTCAGAGGCAGCTTTAGCGGTGTCAGCGCGCGCGGGCCAATCGTCGAAAAGGAGGCCTTCGCCGTTGTCGATGCCTGCAATCGGCTCGACTATCTGGTGATTGGCCTTGTGGATTCCGTCTGTTCACGGACCACCGCAACCTCCCTCGTCTACATGTTCAACCCTCACGGGTCGAACGGCAACCTCGACAAGTACCAGGCTGACAAGCTTCAGCGGTGGGCGTCGGTTATGTCGACATTCCCGTATTTGATCGAATGTCTGCCGGGCGACGTGAACGTGTGGAGCGACCTGCTTAGTCGCTGGGGTTCCGCTCCGTCTGCGCCCCCCGTGGCGCATGTGCGGAAGCTGCTGTACGTGGTGTCCCCTCTGCAGCGCGCTGATTTAGATTGGCCGACGGCTGCGTCGATTTTGGACGCCAAAACGTCATCTTTGGACGGGGGGGGGCATCCCACCTGGCGTGGCCTGGAGCGAAGAAGACTCCTACAACATGGACCCAGACGGGAGGATCTGGGTGCCAGACGGTGCTGTCGACCTGCAGCAACGCCTCTGCGTTATCGCTCATCAAGGCGCGGCAGGCCACCGTCGAATTGCCGCGACGACGAAATCGGTGTCAGACGTGTTTATTTGGACCACGCTGGCCCAAGACGTGAACACGTTTGTCCGAGCGTGCTTGCAATATCTCCAAGTGGATGGAGATGTGGTGCCGCGACCATTGGGCTCGGCCCTGCACGCCGAGAAGCCCAATGAGTTGATTCACTTCGACTGGTTGTCAATGCTGGAGTCGTCAAGTGGACTGAAATATGTCCTGGTTATCAAGGACGACTTGAGCGGGTTCGTCCACTTATGCCCTGCTGAAGCCGCTGACGCGACAAGTACAGCGGCTGCGTTGGTATCCTGGTTCACGCTCTACGGCTGTGTGGACACGTGGGTCTCTGACGGCGGACCACTTCAAGAACGAAGTGGTCGAAAAAGTGCGCAAGATGGTGGGCGCACACCATCACATCACGACGGCCTACAGCCCTTGGGACAATGGGACGGTCGAGGTGGTCAACCGTCTAGTCCTGCGGACGCTCAAGGCTTTGCTGAGCGAGATGAAGTTGCGTGCGAACGAGTGGCATCTAGTTCTGCCTCTGGTGCTGGTTGACCCACCAACCCTCGGACAGGCTCGGTGGAGTTGCCCCGTCACGGCTTTTACGGGGCTCAAGGCGAAGACGCCACAGGCCGGGTTAGTACACCCGGCCACCAAGGAAGTTATCTGCACGGACATGCTGAACGATGCCCGTGTCAAGCACATGGCGCAGCTCAAGATTGCCTTGGATCAGCTGCACCGTGAAGTGTTTGCCCGCAGCGACAACAAGCGAGAGGACGGCGCGACAAGAAAACGCGAGTCAAATTTGCCAACTTTAGTGTGGGTGATTTTGTCCTAGTCGGCGCCGTCGTTCAACGGCCTACGAAGCTTGCGCTGCAGTGGCGTGGGCCACAACAGGT